ACTTCTTACTAGTAGTAAGTAAGTTAAATTTACTTCTTCCCTACCAACTACCTACCGACGACTACTACGTTGTAGGACGACGAACTAACGTACGTACGTACTCTCTCTCTCTCTCTCTCTCTCTCTCTCTCTCCCCTTCACACACACACAGGCGTGACCAAGAAAACATCCTATAGCCAAGGGGAAACACCAGATGGAAACGGTTCCAATGTGTAAGGGATGGGAAAGGCTACAAGGAATGTGCAATGAAAAGGAAAGCCTACAAGGAAATTTTCCAGCAGTCGCCTGTTCATCTCGTATACAATGTGTGTGTGAGAGAGAGGAGAGAGATGGTGTGCCAATTGCCAGTAAGAGGGATGCAAGTTACATTTGTTGACTCCCTTGAAAAGCAAGGCATCAGCTACAAAATTGTTCCTCGAACCAATGCATTTTTTGTTCTATTGTTGGCTAATAAACCAGTGGCACTATTGAAACTAGTTTGAGACAAAAGGCATTTTCAGTACCTTATATTGGAACTTTCAAAATTTTCATAGCTTTTCCTATTATTACCTGATTTCTCTTTCATAACTTAATGAGATCATTCCTCATCAGATGAACTATCAACAAGTGTTTCAGCTGAAACAGCAGTGGCAGCTCCACCCTGAAAAGCAAGGATGAAAGAAGATGATCAAACCTACACAAGCAAAATTCTAAAAATAAATAATCGACAGGTATCAGCACTTACAGGCATCTTATCCCAGTCCTTTAATTTTGAACTAGTGAGCATGTAATTGTCACGTAAAAGAGCCCACCCCGGATCATTGTTCTTCCCTTCTTCCGTTTTAGTAGCCTGCTTAAATAAACCGTCATCATGTAAAAGCTTTCCGTTCACAGAAAATATCCTATTTAGCTTCAAACAAATCATGACAGAGAGACCTTGTTAACGCTTGATGTCATAGGATTAAAACGGGTTGGCAACGATTCCTTGCGTAGCTCTGCAAGGAAAGCCTCTTTGCTTTTCTTTCCTAATTCTGCAAGTATATGAAAAGCATCCATAACAGTTAGAAGCAATGATGCAAACAGAGGCTTAGTCTTTAAAAGAGTATTGAACGAACAAGTACGGGAATCATAAGATAGAGGAAAATCCAAATCTTGCATAAGTTTCAGCTCAGGCATTCAAATCCTTAACCACTTCGACAGGAAACTCAAGGAACAACCAAACCTCGAACCCGAAAATCAAATCAAGAGTCAATTTCTTCTTCTCTCTCTTTTTCGCTTTCAAGCCCAAAGTGTTGGACTCTACAGATGGCGAATCAAGCGTCATTTTTTCTTCTTCTTTCTCTTTTCCTTTTTCAACAATAATGACCAAGCCAAGGTGTTGGAATCTCTACAGAAGGATTTGTTGAATAATAAAAATGCTTTCAATGATTAGAGGAACAGAAAGGTTACCAGAGGAGAGTAAAGGATTTGGAAGGAGAAAGCATAAACCCCTATCCATATATGATATACTGAGGGTTGAGACTCGGAGGGGGATCATCACAAGGATTGATATGCTGGGATAAGTTTTTACATACATTCTTTCCTTTAATGAGATATTACTAAAGAAAAAGAAAGAAACATAGAGAACAAATAAATAAGTTCCCAGAGCAGAAGCCCTAAGTCATTTTTTACGTAGAACTTAGGAAGATCGAAAACCCTTAAACAATATCAATAGAAAAGCATGCTCAACGAGCTCATAGAAAATAACTCAAATTCAACTGTCTAGGCCAGGATCACTTAAGAGAGAGGCCTCCAGAGGAACATGAGCTGCAAGTAAAGATCCAGCAAAAGATAATACAAATAGTCCCAAATTGTGGATAATTCAGATAGATGCATATGAGCTGTGGACCAAACGAACTGAGTACGTGGGAACAGCCAAATCATCTGTAAGTATCAGCGACTAGAAATTTTACTTTATAAAGGCATCACTTCACTTATTAATACATAACTAACACAAAGCTATTGCTATCAAAGCCAAGGATGGAACAAGCCACAATCAACTGTTTAAAGCAAACGCAATACCCTAACAAGTGTGTCAATCTCTAGATGTGAAAGGTACTATGACCTTTAATGTCCTCCATTGAGTCATTAGAGAAGGTACACTTCCATAGAAAATTAGAAATAAGTCCATGTATTGAAGGAATTACAGAGACACATGGAGAGGCCAATGTAGAGGCAGGTAGGCTAGCACATGCAACGCTAGAGAAGTGTGTCCAATGGTGAAGACCACCTGATTTGTCCTTATGCTTGACTAAAAATACCCAGTGATGAAAAACTCCTATTGCACTTTTGATGGTAAGGCTATTCCGATAGTGTCATAAAATGGGTTCAGGTGGCAGTTGCTCAAACTAGTGGTGTTTAGCTAATAGATTAGAGACTTGTCCTGGCCTTCCTAATTATTTCTTTCTTTATTCTTTTCTAAGTATGTGCTTCTCTAATTGGCCTTCATCCACAAGCAGCATTAGAAGACATGAATAAGTCAACATTTTGGAAAATTTTAAGATCTGACGCCTTTGTTGACTTTTTGGGCTATAATTATAAAGACTGATATAACTCTAAACAATTTAGAACCCAGATAGATAACCGCTCTATGGTTTAAATTGATTAACTCCATGTCCATTTTGTAACATCTATTGTAATGCGCCTCTTGCACACTTTACTTGCCCAACTACCAAAGTTAACTACCAAGACAAGAAAAGCGTAACACCCAGTTATTCAGATATCATTATGAGAGTTCAATGGATCAACAATAGTTGTAAAGAAAATAATAACATAATAAAAAGAAAAAAATAATAATAAAAATAAATAAAACAAAGAAAAAAGAAAAAAAAAAAAAATATCTTCCAATAGAGCTCTTCCAAATTAGCATTCTTCATTAATTTTATGTTTAGTTTGCTCCAATTTGGCCCTAATAATCCATGTTATTTCCTTTGCCTTTTGGTGTAAATGAAATTTTGTTCATCGGGTCACAATGAAACACTTCAATGGCACACATAACCTAAAGCTGACCATTTATTGAAGTTATCAAGATTATTATGTGGAAGACAATTTCCAAAAACCTCGAACCATTTCCTGTGAAACGGCTAGAAAATTATTTTAAAGAAAATTGTAATCCACTGAGCCTCAAAAAATAAGAAGATATTGCAAAATCAACTCCTTGGAAAGATTCTTGAATAGAAACCAAGGCATGCAGAGACCGGAGACCAGAGACCATTGAAAAATCACTTTCATGCAGGGTCATGAATAGGAACCATAGCATGCAGTTATTGTTGCTCTACTTCTAGAGGAGCCTTCAAAGAGAAAAGTAAGCAGTCAAAACAATTTCCATTCATCAATGATGATATCCTACTCATTGCTAGATCATTTGGAGATATCTTTCCAATGTTCAAAGATGATATCCTGCACATTTCTAGCAAGCAACAAATTGTTGGCCTTCAACCCACGGCAGTCAAGGGATAGATAACCTAATGAAACGCCAAGTTTGAAGAGTATCGACTCGGTCCAAAGTTCTAATTCTAATTTTACAAATTTAGAACTACTAGAAGGGTATAAGAAATTTCATTTGGTATCAGGCCTTTCTTACTAAAGTATTGAAGCTAAAGGCAGCAAAGTGAAATTGTACCAGAACAAAAATCTATGAAGAATATTGGAAGCCATGTGAACTGGAACCTATGAAATTTAATTTGTTCACTTAAAATTTTCCATTATTTTCATATGAATATGCGCAATAAAAAAAAATGAAACAATGGAAATATAGAAGTAATAAAAAGTGGTCCACACGTACCCTTTGCATCTTTTGATTTTGAAACCCTCACACCTTTTTGAACAAGTTGTGCTTTATTAACCTGTGCAATTCACACCATACAACTGTAATTAATTGATTGAGATATTTGACCAATGAACGTTACTGTGAAGAACATACTAGAAAGATATACAAAAAAGATCATACTTAGGAGCTAACTCACCGCATTAAATAACTTCACCACTGAAATGTGTCGTTTTACATGCAAGAAGGGCAACCATTAGATCAAATCAGATACAAAGGCTTCGCACACTTTTAGATTAAAGACATACGTAATTTTTAATTAGAAAATTACCTCCTTTTGTTGCCAAACTTATGAGTAACTTCTCCTTCGTATCCAAGAAATTTGCAGGCCTTACATGGCCCTTCTCCTTCACCTGATTCAATTTCTGCAATGAGAAACAAGTTAGCTACAACTGAATCCATATTTTACATGGTCAAGTGACTCAAACCGAATTTCCAAAAAACTAAAGACAACAATGCTACCATCCTGCATTATAAGATTTGCAATCATGCCTTACGCCCAATCTAAGAACTGTCTCAAATTTCCAAAGCGGCTTGCCTAGTAAAACTGTAAATTTAAAAATTAAAACCAAATTAAAACCATTCCTCTCGCACTTGTGTATGTGTGGTGTCTGCAAGTGTGGGTCTTTGTGGTGTAGGTGTTTTTGTGGGTGTGTTTGTGAGCGTGAATGTGTCATATATGAATTAGAAAATATATCAAAATACACCTAACTTATTGATTCTTTAACATTTTAGCCATTTTCAACAATTCCAGCTCATGATCGCATGTATTTTAATGGGCTTTTTTTAATTAAATCAAAAGATATGGGTAAGACATTATATAGTTCATCTCTTAGGTGCATTTTAATAATTTCCCTATATAAATTCCCAGAATAAGTTTGACTAAAACTCCCATTCCCCACAGGTGTAAATCTTTGTATTCCCCAGCAATCTGAAGAAATTCTTACAAAATCAAAACCTTACCTATAGAAAACCTAAACCTTCAAATTCTCAATTAAAATTAGGTAAGCTCACCAAATCACATCCACATTCTCAAATCCAAAAGACCAAGCCATAGATTTCCTATTAAATTGAGTAACATCCCTGTTCGCAATAAATTAGGTAACTTATCATGCCTCCTAATAGCAAACTTTGTTAGTACATATCTGTGGAATGCAGTTGTCATTAGCTTGTAAGGGTGTGTCTGTTGTGTGTGTTCACATGCACAAAATTGCATAATAACTATTTTAAGCAATGACTTATATCACGATGTAAATTAATAGGTAGATTGCTACGAGTGTTTAGAACCTCATCCCCAACTTGGACAAAGCCAAAACCAAGTCAACTCGTCGAGTCAAATAGTCAACTCAGAAAAGCTCAGATAATTTTTTTTATTTTGGCAAAAGCAATTAGATATTAGCAGCATGATTCAAACTTGAGACCAAATTTATAGAGGAAATGCATACTACCACAAAACCCACATTTGATTTCAGTACTAAGTAGAAATTTTTAATTTATGAATTTACAAACTCAGCCTAAAAACTGAGTTGACTCACTCAAGTCATCCAAATGGAAATAACTTGCTTTCTAACAAGTTCTATTTTTTCACAAAATTCCCTAAGTACAGACCAACATGACATATATGTGATTAAGGAAGATACTAACATGAAATCAGCTCCACAAAGTGTCAAATTTATGCAAGGATCTGCCAATCCCCTTGTCAACTTGGTTCTTTGAGGTTACGTGCCATAAGAGAAGCTACCGAAGAGTTCACTTCCATGCAAAGGAAAGAAATTATGTTATGCATGTCTGCATAAATAGATTCCAAAGCATCAACCTAAACTCTCACCAAGGTTCAAAAAAACAGATTCGGGCGCCTAGGCAGTTTGGGTGCCTGGCCGCCTGGGCGGTCAGGCACCCGCTTAGGCCGGCGCCCAGGGATGGGAAGCCCTCAACAATATCAAGCCCCTCCCACCCCAAAAATAAAAAATAGGGGAGTTATTAGGGCTGGTTTATAGCCTTAGGGAGTTTTTAGGGCAATTTTATAGCTCCAAACTCCTCGTGATCATGAAATAGACGAAAAAAAGCAAAAAAAGAATACGATATATGCTTAATTTCATCATCCATGTGAGAAAAAAATCAATCTTTTAACTACAAACAAGTAAATATATCGTAAAAGAAAAAAAAAAGTAATAGAAAAAACACATGATTCATAACATAATGTGTTGTAGTAAAATAAAATCAAAACCCTCTTTCAAATATGATAATACTTAAAAAATATCAAAATCAAATCAGTGTTGGTGCAAACCTCGTCTATTACGTCACCAAAAGTTCTCAAAATCAACTATTAGAAGCTCCAAATCCACCCATGAAGTCTTCGTTTTGGGAAGAAATCGGAAAAATATAAAATTTAACGAATTCCGATAAATCACAAAATAGTGGTTTTTGAGGGGTTTTTCTCACCCTAAAGGCCACGGATTTTATATTGGGGGTTTAGAATACCCCTAAAACCCCTTTCCCCCCTTTTTAGGGGGGGGAAATTATGTATTTTACCTCACCTGAGGGTTTTTTTCCGTCACTCGAAAATTGTCACGAGGCGGCTCCTAGACGGCCACCCCGACAATAGCGCCTAGGCGGGCGCCCAAAAGCAAAACGCCTTATGCACCCACCCAGACTGCGCCTAGGCGTTTTGAAAAATTTTCCGCCTAGGCGCTATTAAAAAAAGGAAAGTTATCCAAAAAATTAATAAAGAAGCGTCATCATCTATTTTTTGAAAATTTATATAAAAATCCTATTCTATCACAAACCTATAAAAAATATTTACAAATAATTTAAAATAAATAAAAATACCAAATATTCCTTAATATAAAAATATTTAAAAATAATTAAAAAGAAATAAAGATACTAAAATACTACCGAATATTGTTTTGGTTATTTATTATTCTTGAATTATTTTTTAACTGCTTTTCATAAATGTGTACTGGTGACAAGTATGGGCATACCAAATTTGAGCTTAATCCAATGTATAGAAAGAGATAAAATTGAAGTGCACTTTAAGCTCTCAAAAAGTAGGACTGAATGTAAACTTTAATAGATATGGGATTTTTAAATTCTTAAAAATAATATAGAATTTTTCTGTAAATTTCCCTAATTTTTTTAGCAAGCTTCCCTCATAGCTGGAGAATATTACCATGCGACACTACAAATAGTTTAATCCCATAGAGCATTTCCATTAGTTGATATTCACATGATTCACATTCCATAATTGACATTTGGAGATATATCCATTCAAGATGAGTAGAGAATCATCTGAAACAGTCAAAATAAGCTGCAAGCTTTCATGGCAGATAAAACAGTCGATATCCGCACATGCAATTCAGCAATAAATTGCTCCTTGTGCCAAAAATAGAGCCACTAGACTGGTGCTTAACACATACCCCAAATGACGAAAATATTCGCGCTTAGGATGTCTCTCATTTAAGAACTTCATGGATGCATTGTTAAATTCTACTTCTCTTAGATTCATGGAATCTCTTTTGAGCAATGGTCTTGCCTAGCAATTAGCACTGGAACGACAAAGAATTGCATGAGTGGGAGGTGATCAGAGAAACATCTCACGAGGATGAGGGTAGCACCCTAATTTAAAATAAAAAATAAAAATAAAAAAGATATTCCATTGGTGAATAAATGACCAAACAGCATCTAGATGGCTAGATACAGGGTAATATTATTTCCCTTTTTTTTTTTTGGAATCTCATTATTACCCAAAATATGGAGGAATCCTCTATTCAGTTTTTAACCATAAAAAAAGGTGGAAAAGCATATGGTATGTACAAGTATGTAAAATATAGGAGTAGAGCTGCATGTAACCTTACGAGTTTCTAAGACCTATGATTAGTACAAGTCAAGAATATGGAAGACATCGTTCAAAAAAGTGAAGGAGAAAAACAAAATACTATCTAGAGAGTGAGATGTATAACCAATAAAGTACATGAATTAACATATAACAAAACATAGGCGGTTCCACAATTTTTGGGCTTGAGTTTGAAGAGGAAATTCCAAGCATACCTTTCTCAAATATTGCAACAATTAACTTGTAAAAAGCACCTAGCAAATGTAGATAATCCTAGTTCCAATAAACACAGATATTTTCGTTTTTTCCTATGATTGACCCAACAAAACATAGTTTAAGCTGGATTTCATTTCCAAGAGAACCTTTATCAGACTCTATGGGCACAGGACTGTAGGTTCTTCCTAGAGGGCACACAGAGGTCCACAAACCACACCATTAAATGTCAGCATCATTTAGCCCCAAAATCATTTCCAACACAAAAGTGTTTATCTTATCACAAGCTTACAAAGAAAATAAAAGTTCACCATTTTGGCACATATATTTAAACTACAGTCTCATCAAAAACTTTGCCCGAACTAAAATCACTTTAAACTCTTGTTTCAGGTAATACTAAAAACAGAAATCCTGGGTCTATTTTTGACAATCAGGAAGACATGACTCGCCCAAGTCCACTTGGACTCCAGCAAGAAACTCGGCCTCACCCTATGGGTGAGGCTGACTTTTATCGAGTTGTGTGTACAACTTGGGGACATTAAACAATTCAAAAATCCAAAAAAATTGTAAAAAATGTGAGACGGATTTATAAATTTTTTTGGTACATGATTGTAAACAATGTGAGACGGATTTATATTTTTTTTTTGGGGGCATGATTTAGATGTTTTTGTCAAAGATAAATGAATTCTTTTTGTCACAATCTCTATCTTTATAGTTTTACTTTTCTTTAGAATTTTTTATAATGTCCCAATATGTAAAATGAGTTTTTTTAAAAAAAATCCATTTTTTCTCTACTTTTTAAGCTTATTTTAACTCTTCAAGTTTCATTTTGGTTTTGTTTTACTTTTACGAACATTTTTTATTTTTTTTTATTTTTCCTATTTTTCCTTTTTCTTTTTTTGGGCTTTTTTTGCTCCGTGCATGACTCGGCAAAGGTTGCAGGACTCAGTGGAGTAACTCATCTCGGCCAAGGCGAGTCCCAGCACACTGTTGACAATTATCAATTTGTCATTCAAAAACATTGCCTAGTTTTCCACTTATTCACCAATGAAAACACATGTATGTACTAAAATCCTGACTTCTATAATTCTACTGTTTAAATCAGATGGACACCCTCAATTCTAAAATTGTGTATAGAAAAAGATAAAATATTTTCTCATAAAAGAAAAAAAATGAAAACGAAATAAACCAGGAAAATTTAAATATAATAACAGACTAACAATTCTACTTTGAATAAGATTACTAATTGCAGGTTAAATTCAGAGGGAACAGCATAGTAGCTTACCAATAGCTTCTCCTTCCTTGAAGCCTTCTGAGCATTTTCATCTTCCTCAGCAGTAAGTTTCTTTGCAATGAGCTTCTTATCACCGGATAAAATAGGCCCCTGCAATCAAAACCAAAACCATCACTAAAGTCCAAATAATATTGCACCTGCTTCAACACTAGAACCATTATAACCCCCAAACTAGTTCCTGAAGTGTAACAGACAAACCAAAAAATCTTCAGTCACTTTCTTCTTCATGATTTTCATGAAAGCCATTCGAAAGGCCTTCGAACCTTCTGAAAACTTGATCACTCCAACACTAGTATCTGGCTTCTGACTTCCTGTTTCTTTCTTCCCCTCTTCATCAGTATCCGAAAACTTTCCTATTTCTTCTTCTTCGCTTACATGGCCAGAAGATCCTTCTGATTGAACATCTTCATCATTGTCTGAATTGTACTCAGCAACACGCTTTTGATAAAGCTTCTGCATTTTCTTGCTGGTTTTTTGCTTCTTTGGGGTTTCTGATAGTTTTGCCTTGTTCTTCTTCTTCTTGTTGTGCTCGAGCTTTCGTTTCTTTGAGTGATTTGAAGTGTCCTGTAGCTGCAGCTCGTCCATGACTGCTTTGGCTATAGGAAAACCAAAATCTTAGTAATGGCGCTAGAATGAATCGCAGGCAAAACCTCTGGTTGTACAGTCAGTTAGGGCAATGGCCTCTGCTAAACCCTAGAGCCCAGAGATGAGAAGAACCCTGAGTTATTTGAGGTTAACTTTTAAGGAAATTTATCAAAATAACCTTTAGACATACATTATTGAACATTTTATACGTATTGCCGCTGTTCCAAGAAGTCTTCTAATGAGTATTTTGAGTTAAATAAAATAACATAGGTAAACTGTTAAATAGTTTATCTTGTTATTTTGATAGACTTTCTTAAACTTTAAAAATAAATTTACCACAGGGTATGGTTTATGTAAGGTTGCCATCTTATCTGTAGAAATAAGGCTGCAATATTCTATACCATATATTTTAGTTTAACTGTGTAGATTTGATAATATAGTTTAAGACAATGGTTTAAAAAACGGATCGGTGACACGGATCGGGCTTCCAAAAAACCGATCCGGATCGGCGAATCGGCGATCCGAATCGGGAATCGGGTGAATCGGTCAGAATAAAGCTT